TTTTTCAAATTTTCATATTTTATGGGCTTTTTTTCAATTCAGTTTGAAAATATTTTAAAGGGCCAAAGAAGCAGCTTTCACTTTGCAAATGTCAATCATTTACTCTCTTAGCTTCTCTGTTTCATGTATTTTGACCTTGTGGAGGTATTTCATGTTTCTCTTAACTCAAAGTAATTGAAGATATCATCTAGGTCTTAATTACTCCTAACAGAAACTCAGGTAGAATCTGGACTTAGGAATTCTTTTATAAACTTAACATTGTAAGTGCTATTGAGACGATCCAGACCCACATAGAACGTTACATGTAAATTATTGATCCTTCTAGTGTTTTTGGATAAATCCTCTCCTCTTTGAACCGCATCTCTATACTCAACAATAGGAATTCAATTTGTAAACCTCTGAATTCTTGACTGGATTTTAAACTACAAGTAAATATTTTAACTTTTAGATTTATTTAAACATAATGAAACATTAAACCTTTTAAAAGATATAGTGAGAAGAATTCAAGTAATTTGTAGAAAGATACAAGAGTTGCAACAGAATTAGTAGCTTATTAGTTTTAATTCAAATTTTCATAGTAAGAACTCATTGTTTATTAATTTATGTAGAAAATTAAAACTATGTCTAAAAGATTTATGCTATTTAACAAGTAATATGGAGAAAATTAACTTATTAAGTAGTATGGAGGAAATTACAACACTAAAACAACATAAATAAATATTTGAATACAAAGATGTATCTTGTCCCACTCAAAGTATTTCTAGTGGGTTGAAATCAAATTTGGATAAATCAATAACAATTTACTTATTCACATTACCACACACAGGGGATATTCTGAATTTCTCAGCTCATCAATCTTTTATTTGATCACTGAACATTTAACGAATACCTACTTTGTGCAAGGCATCACGCATGCTTCTGAAGCTTTAGAAACAAGAGTTTCCAGCTTTCGGGGAATTAACAGTCAAGGGCTTCATTGCATTTGGAACTCCTAAACTCTCTTTACTAGTTAAGTAAAAACATTAATCAATTGGAAACACAAATTACGTTAATAAGAGCCCAGCAACTGGATTTCATCATATTGACTTTGAGGTTGGCAGATTCTACTAACTCAAGAAAATCCAAACTCACTGCCCTGAACTCCACCCTGTTTAATCCTCTTACCTTTCCCCACACTCTCCCATTTTGTCAACAAATCCCAGCATTCTGGTTCAGCTCCTCAGTATCTTTCTCAGGTCAGTCAACATTACCATGCTGAAATCTCATTTCTGTCTTCTTGTATTCCTTGTGATCTCACTTCAGTTCAGGAACAGTCCATTCCTCCTGACTCCTCTATCTGCTTAGCTCCAACTCTACAAGAGTGAATTCACTTCAATACTCTTTTCTTTCCTTGGCACTTCACCCACCTGCCACCTGGAAGCTTGGCTATTTCACTCTTCTTAAAACTCTTCACCTAAGCAGACGACGGGGTTTCTTTTTACCAAGAATACAGATATTAGCTTTGAGGTCTTCTCAGGTTTTGTCAGGGAACTTCTCTGTATCTTTGTCAACCCTCTTCTTCCTTCTTTCCTTGGTGAAAGTCATGCCTCCTGGCACCCACTCACTTAACACACACCAGGTAAGCATGCCAGGTTTTCTAGACATGGGTTCATCGTAAAGCTATCAAGACAATGGGACAAAGTAAGGTGGCAGAAGTAGACCACGTTTCAGATAAAGGGATTATGGAAGGATGTTCTGAGGCGTGAGGAAGGAGAGGAGAATGGAGGCTGGCCATAAGAACACCATGCAGAGACGCATTCTGGGCATAGGGTGACAGCTGTAAACATCTGGGGGCCGGGGGAGAGTGTGACATGTTCGAAAGTCTGATTGACGTCTGGCACGTCAGGACCCTTGTAGCCAAGGGCTTAGGGGGCGGAGCTGCAGCTGTGACCTGCACCACTCAGCTTGCAAGCCACCAATTATTTATGATTCTTCAATCATTAACTATTCTTCTCTACTATGAGCTTCAAAATGCTCAAGATCTGTTCAGCCTCAAAATACACCCTCCCTAACTCTTGCTGCTCTTTGGAACTACATCTTCCCTTTAACATTGTATTTTCCCAAGCAACAGTTTCTCTTGTCTCCACTCCTTGCTTACCTTTGGCGACCCTGTTTCTGTGCACACTACCACTTCCAGTGCACTGTCCAAGATCACCAATGATTCTCAGTTTCAAATCCAGTGACCTTTCCTCCACCCTTATCCTTCCTGATTTTCTGTCCCATTCTTGACCACCCTCCTTTCCTGATATTCTTTTCCTCCGTGAAAATTCATTCCTGTCATGTTCCCTCTGCCTTGATGACCCCTCTTGGGCTGTTTTCTGCCCGACCTCTCAAGCGGAATGGTTCTGTTCTTCCTTCACGGCTGCTTTCTCGTTCTCTCACTCTTTCCCCCTCCCTGTCCCCCCCTCCACTCCCTTCCCCCACATCCCAACCCCTTTCACAACCTCGCTCAGGCCAGGCCCTCTCTGTGGGTGACGCCCACAGGCCCTCTCTGTGGGTGACGCTTTTTCTCCTCTCTTAGGATCCCCAGAAACGTTCTTTCAACAGCAAGTGCCAGTATAGTGTGGTGCTTCAAACTCAGCATGTTCTTAACTGAATCCATCCTCTTCCTTCCCGAGCCAAAAACTTCCACATTCCCAACTGGTTAACTGTTGAAGTTATAGCCAACAAGCGCAGTCAGTGCCATCTCTGTGGTGAGTCTCAGATGTTCTCTCTCGTCCACTACCACCAGGCCTCTTATCACTGCCTCTTATGTGCCCTCCAGGGCACCTCTCCTGTGCCCTCAGGGCCTCTGCCTGGCAGAATCTGATCCCTGTTAGCTCTTCCGACTGCTACCACATCTTGCCAACACTGCCAAAACCATGCTCCTAATAATCACTTAGACTTGGACACTTCATTTTTCAAAAACGTTCAGTAGCTCCTCACTGTTTATCCAATGAAACCAAAATACGTATCACAGCTTTGGAGCCGTCTTTTAGCCTGATCACTTGTTTAACCCATATGTCATGTAAAAGGTTTTGTTTGCTCTTGCTTTTGTTATTCTTTTGACTCAGAATGCCATCCTCATACCTACTAGTCAAAATCCTAAATATTACATGTCTACTTCAAATGTTATCTCTTACATTTAATCTTCCTCTACCTTCTTAGCAGAAAATAATTTTCCCCCGATCCACACTCTACCTTGCATCATCGTTAAATGTGTGTGGATGCATGTGTGTGTGTGTTGCAGTCACTATTACTTCGCTTTAAGGACAGCATCCTTCCTTTCTTTGGTATCCCCACAGTGCCTGGGATAATGCCTTTCTGGGATAGAAAAAATCTTCCGGAAATGTTTGTCAAATGAATTACCAATGATTTTAATACTAATTTTTAAATTATCTTTAACATGTCAGTTAGTAACACATATAAAACTACACTTGAAAAAGTTCATCTCCTATTAAACTTTTGGATGTGAGTAATTCAAGAAAATTAAGGTCTAAATTGGATGCTTTTTAAGTCTGGCTTTGGTATGTCCAATTTCCCTAAATTGAGGTGCACAGGTATCTGTACCATTTAAGAACATTTACTTAGAAATACTTGGAACTAGCAGCAGAGCAGATTGAAGCCAAGGTCAGGTGTGTGAAAGAGTTAACAGAAAAGTGGCAACACCACTTCACTCTCTATCAGTGCCTCTTTTAGCTGCTGTTGTCAAAGGTTTAAGACATTCTGTATAAGAAAATTTCTCTAATCCCTGAAACTTCATATATTTTAGCATCCAAGCACTATTTTTTACTGCTGGGAAGAAACTATCACTTAACTTAGATGTATAAAAGGCATCTCCACCGAACACGTCCTGAGTGGCCTGGTCTCTTGCTGGCGAAAGTCTTCTTTCTTTCAGGAAAGGGGAGCTCCATTCGTCCCCTGGCATAAGCAGGTAACCTTGGTGTCACTCTTGACATCAGTCCCCCTATGTCCCGTATATGAACGCACAGCAAGTCCCGTCAGTCTTACCTTCACAGCATGTCCCAAACTGGGTTGGCTTGTACCACCTCCACAGCTCCTGCCCAGGCCCCAGCCTCCACCCACTCGTGTCTAAAGGGCTGCAACAGCCTTTTAGTCGGTCTCCCCACTTCCTCCTTTCCCCTCAGCACAGTCTGATCTCAGTGGGCAGCTGGAGAGACCCTACTCAAGGGGAGTCAGATCACATCACCTCTCTACTCGTAGAGAGTCACAGCAAAGTCCTTTCCCTGGCTTGTTCAGGCCTGCCAGAGGCGCCATGCCCTGAGGGCTCTTCTCCTCCCTGGTTATCACTGCCAACCTCCCCAGTCTCCCTGCAGTTCCTTTCTCTCACCTCCCTAGAGCCCTTTTCCTATTTATTTCCGGGTTCAGAGCTATGCTGCCAAGATACAGACTGGTCTAAGAAACTTACGAGAAAATTTTACAAAAAGTGCTTCGCAGTTGGTCCTTGATTAAAATGCATATACTTTCTCAGAACATCAAAATAAAAAAATTAGTGATTATACCTTGAATATAAATGAACCAAAAATGTGTGGACATTATATTGACATTTATTTCAATAATATATAATTTTAAAGAGACTTTTCTTATTTATACTGAAATACCAGCCTGGGAAAATATGTTTTTACTTATGTTACAATGCTATAAACTGTAAAATCTAGAGATGATTTTTAGTCAACCTAGGAAAGATATGAAACTTAGTCTTAACCGAGGAAAATGGAGGGATGCAGCCAAAGCATCTCTAATCAATATAATACTTCATAATCGTATGATATTATTTTATCATAATATATATTTAATTACTATGAATTAGAATATTTAATATATTCCTTTTCATACATAATCCTTTTGGTGAAAATCAAGGGAAAAGTCAGGACAATTTCTAGATTACGTTGGTGGTGCTTAGACACAGAGCAAGACACTTCAATGGTTCATTCGAATCGTTTATGAATTGACAGCGTAACTCTATGTCAACTGTCTTTCAGAGATTAGTGATCAGGGTGGTAGCAGTTCATTTTCAACAGGGGCCTCCACTGTCTGCAAAGAGACCCAGGCAGCGGCCCTACCTTTTCCAGCGTCATCTCTGTCTCAACAGCGTGCGTTTTCTTTAGCTCCATCTTCATCTTCTCTGACTCGGCCTTCAGTCTGCTGACGGCAGCCTCGTGGTCCCTTGCAGCCCTCTGCTTTTCCTCTTCACGAAGAAGACCAAGCTCTACCAGCTGCTGTTTCCGCTGTGAGTTCACATTAATCAGCTCTTCTCTCAACTTGTGAACCTGGGTCTCCATGTCAGCAACGACCTTGTGTTTTGAAATGAAAAAAGGAACAAAGGACACAGGGGAGTCACAAAAAAGAGCTGCAAAGGTTAACGGACAAAATACCAAAATATAAGATGCAAAGTTAAGCATTTCTTCCTTGCTGCCTTCCGGCCTCCCTCCCTCCCCTTTCCTCCTGTCCTCTCCATGTTCTCCAACTCCAACGTTCCCTCCCAGCCCAGAGGTAAATGCCACCTGGGACACCTTGCCATATGTGTCTGTACCCCAAATGACATACTCTTTAGTTCTTCTTGTTTCCAGTAGCTATTCCAATGTAATATTACAGGTATTTTTCTGAAACTTGCTTTTTCAAACATTTACCATATCACGTTCCTGAAAGTTATTCCATGTTCCCTACTAGGTTTTTGGTTTTTATTTCATTGATTTCTGGTTTTATTCTTGTTCAGTTCCTCCTCCTACTTTCTTCAAGTTCATTTAGTATTCCTTCTTTTAACTTCTTATCTTGGATACCTAACTTGCTTATTCTTATACGTTCGTCTTTTCTGATTCATAAATTCAAGACTATAAGCGTCTAACTCTTGCTTTATTTCTATGTTTTAGGTTTAGATGTATGGCATTTTCATTATCATTTAGTTCAAAATATTTTAAATTTCCATTACGATTTTTTTTCTTTGACTTATGAGCCATTGAAGCCTACGTTTGTTCATTCCCAAGCATATGAGATACATTAGTTTCTCAGGGCTACTATAACAAAGCACCACAAAGTTCTGGAGGCCAAAGGTGTTAAAATCTAGGTGTTGGCAGAGTTGGTTCCTTCTGGAAGCTTTGAAAGAGAATCGGTTCCATGCCTATTCTCCTTGCTTCTGGATATGCTAGCCATCCTGGTGTTGGCTGGCTCATTGACACATCATTCTAATCTGTGCCTCTGTCTTCACATGCATGCTTCACATTGGGTATCTGTGTCTCTGTGTCTCCCTCCTTTATTTAAAGGATCCTGGTCATATTGGATATAGGGCTTGCCCTATTCCACCACCATCTAATTTTAACTTGATTACATCTGCAAACACCCTATTTCCAAATAATGTCACATTCACAGGTTCTATGTGGACACAAAATTTTGGGGTGACACCATTCAACTCACGACATGAGGTTTAATGGGTTTTTTTTTTTGTTATCCACCTCTAATCGCATAATGGTCAAAGACTGTAGTCTATCTTCCATTAATTCTTTGAAAATTTTGAGATTGTCTGATGGCAAGTTATGCAGTCAATTTTTAAAAAAGCTTCATGTATGATTGCTAAGAAATGTACATTCTGCATTTTTTGCAGTGGTTGAATGCCATATTCCGTATGGCTATTGATCAAACTTGTTATGTTGTTCAAATCTTCTAAAACTTACTGTTGTTTTTTTAAGTGAGCTATTACTTAAAGGTATGCATTAAAATCTCCCACTATAATGGTGAATATCTATTCCTCTTTGCATCTTTATTAAATTTTCATTTATGTATTTTTAGGTTATAAGGTCTACATCTTACTTGTTAATTGCTTTTGTTATCAAATAATGACTCTCATCATCTTTTCTCCAGAATTGATTTTGTCGTAAAGTCATTTTTGTCTGGAATAAACAGATTTTAATAAGCAGCATTTGGGGGGGAAAGAGTATTTACTTGGTATATTTTTATCCGTTATTTTTCTTTATATCTTTCTGTATCCTCAATTTTTGGATATGTCTCATAAATAACAAATTTAAAATTTTCTTTTTGTCTTTTAAATTCATTTGTATATGCTAACATATTTTGTGTATTTTTATTCCAAATAAATGTTTTCCTCCTTCTATTTTCTTTTCCTTCCTGGTCATACACTGTATTTTCTTTTAGTGGTATTAGTAAAAGGCCTCAACACCCAGGCTTTATTGGTGAAATTTTAGAGTTGATTAATTTCTATAGCTTCCTAAGCAACAGAGGAAACTTAGGACATTTTAAGTCGTGTCGTCTCCTTCTGGATTTATATACTACAGTTGTTATTTTCAATGTGTTTTGTTTTCCTCAACTCATTACTCCTATGTTATTTTATTCTGTCAGTAGCTGTTAGATAGGCTCATATATTTACCAGTGTCTTATTTCACCATCCTTGCAACTATGGGCTCCCAACAATGGCTACTTCCTGTTAGCCCCAGCCACATCATTTAAGTTCTTGTAAAGAGGTTTTGTGGCACGTACCTTCAGTTTTTACTGGTCTGAAAATATCTTTATGGACGTTGTTGAAAAGTCAGCTGCTATTCCTTTGAAGATAATTTGTTTTACCCCTCTGGCTGCTTCTAAGATCTTCTCTTTGTCTCTAATGTTCATCACTTTATGATCTCTCTAAGTATAAACATGCTTCCATTTATTCTGATTGGGACATCTTAGTTCTCCAAATCTATCTCTGACTAGTACTGCAAAATTCTCAGTCATGACCTGCCCATTTAGTTTCACTGTTCCTGTTCTCTTCACTCCTTCCAGAACTCATTTAGATATATGTTGGATAGTCCCATTCTTTCATTTCCCCTAACCTTTCTTAGATATTTTTCACCTCTTATAGTCTCTCCTACATTCTGGATGTTTTCTCCTGTACCTAATCTGCCGTAAGAGACATCTAAGTTCTTAATTTCAATATTTTTTATTTCATTCCTTTTCAAATATGTTTGGTAATTTTCAAACTCTCTTCCTTTTACAGTTTCAAATCCATTTAACAGTTCTTTAAATATATATCACGTATTAAATATAATTATTTTCTATTCTGTTGCTGATAATTCCAGTATCTCAACTCTTTGCAGGTCTCATTCTTCTATTTATCATTTCTCAAGGTTCTGGTTCATGGTTCCTTGTTTTCTCATGTATTTTGTGCTGCTGCTCTTTTTAATTGTGAGCTCATATTTCTTGGAACTTTATCTGTTGGAAGTGAAAGTAGGTTTTCCAGCGATCATGTCACTCTGACAGAAAAATAGAGATATCAGCATCTTTGGAAAACTTTAAAATATGTTCTTAGCCTCAAGTTTTTCAGGATATTCTGATATTGTAAATTCAGGTAGTAAATCCTCAAGAAGACTGACATATAGTTATAAATTTTAAGGGACAGTTTCCTACACAGTGCTAAGATTTTAATTTGCATGTAATGTTCTTTAGTTCACTGGTCTCTAACACATCCATATGCCATGAACATGGCTCTTTGGCATCCTGCCTGTATGTATGGAAGTGTGCCAATAGTTTCTCTACCTTAAGTAGAAACTGGACTTTGTTTTTTGTTCCCTGTGCTTCATAAGAGCCAAGAAAACCACAGGAAGAAAAAAACCCAAAACCAAAACCAAAGTTCAACTTCATTCAGTTTTTAAAAAGTGAGAGGTTTGTTTTTTGTTTTGTTTTGTTTTTCTGCACTCTGCTTACATCTTTGGATTTTCATTTTGGTTTTGGTCTCTGAAAGTCCTAACTTAACAGATAATGAATATAATACACAAGATGTTCTTGACATTTTTTAAAAGATTATTTTATTTTAAAGATGTGAGTTACAAGTCAGAATTAGGTACACAAGTGGTCTACACACAGGGGCAGTTCAGGCCTCCCACTGGTTCTCACTTTGCCTGGTTTAGGATCAGGCACCCTATTGACATGGTATGTCCCCTCACTCCCACACCTCCTTCCCCTGGCAGTACCCTGTTACTGTCAATTCCTTTTTTGTAGTATTATGATAAATGCTCAGAGTCCACTTATGAGTGAGAGCTGGCTGACCACATGCAGAAAAAGGAAGCAGGACCCCGACCTACAACCATACATAAAAATCAACCCTAAATGGATCAAAGACATAAATATAAAACCTCAAACTATAAGAACCTTAGAAAATGCAAGTGACACCCTTATAGCCATTGGAACAGACAACCAATACCTGATCATAACCCCAAAAGCCCATGACATGAGAGATAAGATAAGTAAGAGGGACCTCATTAAACTGAAAAACTTTTACAAAGCAAAATAAACCACCAAGAGAGCGGAGAGCTCCTCCCCTACCCTGAGGAAGTGAATCTCCTCTCTCTCTCTCCCCCACCCTCTAATTTACTTTCTAAATAAACTATATTTTCCAATCTAAAAAAAAGAGTGAGTGAGTGAGAGAGAGAGAGAAAGACAACACCCAGAAAGGGAAAAAATATTTGCCAACCATGTATCTGACAAGGGCCTAACATCGGATCTACAGGGACTCAAATGTGCCAAAAGGAAAAAAGACAGCCCCATTAATAGACACTTCTCAAAAGATGTACTTGAAAAATTTAAATCTAGCCTTTTTAGTTGATTTTGAGGGAAAGTAAATCAGGAAACCTATCATGCCATGCTACTAGATGAATAGTTAACTAGCTGAGGCCTAAATGTATTACCACCAATGCATTAGCTATGAATGCAGCATTTTCCAAAACACTATGATAATGTTTCATGCCTGATGTACTTTCAACAAGCACTGCATAAACCAATATTTCCTGAATGGAAACCAGAAAAACCTTAAAGTGACAAAAATACAAAAGCAACGTTAGGATACTGGGTATAAGAATACAAAGCCAGCGTTTCCCTCCTGGAGACTGCTTGCACTCCTCTCTCTCGAGTGTGTACTCTCAATTCAAATTAAAACTCTTGTTTTTACTCTGTGGAAAAAAAAAAGGCCGGGTGTAGTGGCTCAAGACTGTAATTCCAGCACTTTGGGAGGCCGAGGTGAGAGGACTGTCTGAGTCCACGGGTTCGATAACCGCTGGGCAACGTGGCAGACCTCATCTCTACAATAAACCAAAAAATTAGCCAGACATGGTAGCATGCACCTCTAGTTCTGGCTACTCGGAAGGCTGAGGTGGAAGGATCACCTGAACCCAGCAGGATGACACTGGGGTGGGCGTGAGTATGTCACTGCACTCCAGCCTGGGCCACAGAGTGAGAGTCCAACTCAAAAAAAAAAAAAAAAAAGGAATATAAAGCTAAATGAGGAAAAGTTGCTTTGATCAAAATACCAACA